TCACGGGAAGCCTCTGAAGGCTTGCGGCGTTTGGCGTTGCCGTCCCCCTGATCTTGTCCGAAGCGCGACGACCGTCTGTCTTTCCCAGCCACATGACCATGACTTGGCGGCAGCTTACGCAGTACGTCAGCCCAAGCCTTGTCTGTTTCCGCCTGCTTCGTTATCTGCTCGTTCAGGGCAGGGCCAAATAATGACTCTCCCGGGTTAGCAAACTCTGCAGTGGCCAGGCTGGAGAGCTTGGGGTGGATCTTGGATAAATAAATGGAGCGCCGTTTTATGGTGAGTGCCTGGTTAGCATCTCCCAGGAGACGCAGTGCTGCCGTAGCGGCCTCCCAGATCTGTTGACCTTGCTCACCGAGGCCAGAGTTTTGCGTGTGTTCAAGTATGTCACACAACGGACCCACCACATTCAATAATTTCGCCTGCGTCAGGTACTGAGGCCTATCGGGCCGAGCCTCCGAACGAGGCGGCTTCTTGTCAGCCCCATACACCATGCGGGCGACTTGTGCATCCAAAGCCGGGACTAGTGCTGCTGGAGTGTCAGGGCGAGGGTAGCGACGGGAAATGGCCTGCCGGGATTTGCGTCTGAGTTCTGAGCGAAGACATGACTCAAGAAACTTAGCAGTTTCGGGCGAGACATGACGGGTAAAACTGTTCTCTTCCTCATCCCCGTCCTCCGCTGGCCAGTCCGTGTTGGGACCCACACCGTCGGACACCAGGCTATGTGTGCTACCGGAGTCCAAATCATCAGCCTCCACACCCGCTAGCGTCGGACCAAGCGGCAGGTGGCATACTTGCGCCAGATCGCCTGGATCTTCAGGACCACTCGGGTCTGAGGGGAGAGGTCGTAGCCTAGGTGGCCCTCTCGAGGTCGACCGAGCAGCGAGTGGCTGCAGCGTGGGAAAATTTGTCGGGTCGCCATCAACGGACCCACCACGCGTATGCTCAACACCGGCTCTGGAAGCCTGAGCGGGCTGACTACTGCTGGCAGTAGACCTCGCTAACGAGGAGTCAGCCGATTGGGAAGCAACCGGGATCAGGAGTGGATCAGTTTCCGGGGTACATGTCCCATCCACGATCCGCGAGTCGTGCTCTTGCCCGGACTCCAAATTTCCCACAGGCATGGACGTGTTGTGGCCTTCCAGGGATGCCAAACGCCTCTCCAGTGGGCGCAAGGCATGGTCCAGAGCCTGCTGGACTAGCGAAAAAACATCCTGAGGTGCGGAATCCATACCGAAAACTCAGACAACAGAAAACTTCAACTACACACTTCCTCGAGCAAAGAAAAAAGGTGAAGAAGAAGCTAGAGTTCCCGCGTTTGAGCTGATGGATCACGTGTGGAGCAGTTTTCCTTACGAAAATTTGTTTGTCAAATTTTAGTAAAACTGCGTTTTGAAAATGCTATCTCGAGCAAAGGAAAACCCGATTTCGGGTTGGTATACACTGTTATATCGAAGCTCGAAGCTCCGATATGCAATCTCATCTGGTGACCATGTCACCCTGGCCCGGGCGTTGTGCAGGACCCAGACCAGCGAACACAGCATCCTGCAGTGCAGTGGGCTGTGCACCAGCGCCAGAGCGCGGACAAGGCGCACATGATCGAATTTCGCGTGGAGCGCCACTGCATGCAGCTGAGCTGGGAGTGGGACTGACATTCTGTAGACTGGAGACCAGTACTCAGTAGGTCTACGTGCAGTGCCGGCAGTGGCAGTGGAATGGAAAAGATCGCGTGCTGCGTTGCTGACTGCAGAGCTAAGACTCCGAGCAAGGGCCTAGGGAACGGCGCCGGGCCGCCCTCCGACTCCACAAGACAAACAGCCTACGCCTAGCGCCTGGACACAGGATTTTCCGCAACGCTGACCTATCATGGTAGTTCAGCGCATGTCCAAATCATGCCTACAATCAGTTGATCGCCAGGGCTGGATAGTGGCGCGCACAGCACAAAACAACCAGGCGCGTTCAGTTTTGTCTGTCCCTGCTTCACTCGCTCTGGCTACCACGAGCTCATCGTAGATCTACGCTGGAACAGCAGAAGTTGATCGATGGCGGCAAAAAAAGCCATGGTGTGCGCTTTCTGCGACACAACGGATCTCAGCAACGCAAAGTTCTTGCACTGCCTCCATGTTAGCTGTATCCCATGTCTGAATGACAGAGTCACCACTCAGGGAGCAGTGCAATGTGGAATCTGCCATCAGGACACTAAGTCAAAATTTTCAGGAGTTGACCTGCGAAAGCAGCTAGTACCTTGTCGTTCATTGCTCAAATTGAACAATCACAATGGGGATGACGTTCGTGCAGAGTCGGAGGTGCAGAAGTGTGATTTTTGCGAGGGAGTGATCGTGAAGCCTGTCACACATAAATGTGATGACTGTGATGGTGCTATGCTGTGCGCGGAGCACGCCCAGGGCCATGCGACCAAGCGAGTATTTCGGCATCACCATGTAAAGAAGCGAGTGTTTCGGCATCACCATGTAAAGTCATTGTCGAACGACGAGGCAAGTGGTGACAGAGGTGATGCATGGACTGAGACTAGGAATACTCGCTGTCCAGTGCACAGCAGATACGAAGTGAACAGGTATTGTAGAACCTGTGACATTGTCGCCTGTGAGCAGTGTGTAGTACTAAGCCACCAACAGCAGCACACTGTCGTACCGTTGACTCAAATAGCCAAGACTACACGCACAGCGCTCCAACAGGCGCTGCCACTTGCGACAGAGCGCTCCACAGACGAGAGTGTTCCACCTTCAACTCAGAGTGTTCTGGACATGCTCAAGGGAGATTTGGATGCTCATATCACAAAGACAAACGATGACGCTACGGCAGCCTCCAAGGTTATCAGTGACACATTCCAAGGCATCAGAAGTCTTCTTGATAAGCACGAGGAAGAGCTCCTGAAGAAGGTAGACGCACTCAGATGGAAAATGCAGAAGCCCATGGAGAGCAAGCTGCAACGTCTGACGGAAATTGAACAGATCAATGTGACGACTACGGAGGTTGGGACATTGTTGAGCAGCGAGGACAGCAGTGACATTGATGTCATGTTGCTGGGAACGTGTGTCCTGGAGAAACTCAAGTCCTTCACGTCGGACATTGAGTCCTCGGAAAAGTCAATGCTGAACAAAGATTCGTGTAAAATCCAGACAGCTGTTTTGTCCGATGTTCTGCAGAGTATCAAGGCAAGTGTTGAAACAGTCGTGGAGGTGTTTGAGGGCGTCAGCATTGGTTTGCAGAAGATGACCATGAACGTACCACACAACGTGCAGGTTGGAAAAACAAGCATGATTCAGTTGAGGATTCCCTGTGCCAGGGATGAAGCCACGTCTTCTCACTGGCATGGGACATTGAAAGCTTGTTTGCGATCTCCATCTGGTCCAGAAGGCGCTGTAACCCTTGAAGCATCCTCCAATATTGACGGCTCAGACACTCTACAGCTGAGTGCTTCCATAGATCCAAAGGAAACTGGCAACCACGTTCTGGAAGTGAGCACGCCCACAGAGAAGAGGTCGATTCAAGTGCCAGTTTCTGCACGACTCCAGTTTGACAAACAACGATGCTCACCTGCCATGAAGATAACCGGATCAACAGAAAACATTGCGTCACTGAGTGGCGCTGGCGGTGCGAATGGCAATGTGTATGGCACTGTGGCCTACACGTCAGGCGTGCACACTTGCTCAGTGAAAGTCACTGGTCGTAAACTGACCAGTGGTCACATAGGCATCGGTGTGGCTACTCTTCCTCCTGATGGTCCAATGCTTGACTCAAAGCAATACGCCTACGACTATGGTGTAGGTTGGATCCAACCACACTCACCTTACTGCAACTTACAAGGTGGTCACATAGCGCTTGCTGGCACCAGATCTTGGCACAGTGGTGACATTCTAACCTTCACTCTGGACTATGACCGACGTAGCTTGGAACTATGCATCCAGCGTACAGGTGAGCGAAATTCCATCTGCGGATTTGATCCACAAGGCAAAGCTCTGTACTTTTGCGTCACCATCTGCAACAAGCGAGACCGGAAGGTTGAGATTGTTGGGTAGATTGTTTGTTTACCCATTTTGCTGATCACCCTAGTCACTGTACTGCTTTATCCAATGATACTGATTATTATTTTTAAATGACATTATCCTTTACAGGATATTACTGTACACTAGGTGTGTCTACATGAAGTACAATATTTGTACTCTGCTGCACTGCTTTTCATCTACATGTTTTACATGGGTGCCTTCTGCACTTATTTCTAGATTCATGCATGTACAAAACACTTTAGCCTTTACAGCATGTTGCTCTTAGTTTCCCTACTTGTGTCTACATGACGTACAAAATATACTGCTGCACGGCTTTTTATCTGCATGTTTTACTTGGGCACTATGCAGCTAGTTTCCAGCTGCATACACGTACATGTACATAACATTATGGGCGGCATTCTCCTACTTGTG